TCCTTCTTTCCTTCCTCTCGCTCTCTCCCTTTTCCCTTTGCTTGTTTGTTTTGTTTCTTAAGTTCCAAATAACAAATGAAATCATATGGTATTTGTCTTTCTGACTTATTTCGCTTAGCATTATACTCTCTAGCTCCATCCAGGTGGTTGCGAATGGCAAGATTTCATTCTTTTTGATGTCTGAGTAGTATTCCATTGTATATATAGACTACCTCTACTTTATCCATTTATCTATCGATGGACATTGGGCTGCTTCCATATCTTGGCTGTTGTAAATAAAGCTGTTATAAACATAGGGGTGCATGTATCCCTTTGAATTGACAATCAGCTTTTTTCACTTAATACTTCCTTTAAATCTTTAATATGTATAGGTTTTATTAGTTCTTTCTGATGGCCGTAGAGTATTCCAAAATATATGTACTTTATTTAGCTATTCAAACATTAATGACCATTAGTTAGCTGCTAATTTTTCACTTTTACAAATATTGCTACAAGGATTGTCTTGGGACATGCTTTTGTGTGGCTGTATGGATTATTCCCTGGTAGACGCCATGAAGCAGCAACACCAAATGCAAAGATGCCCTGACTCCTACAAACAACAGCTTAGTTCCCCACACTTTTGCCTAAACTAGGGATAAGTCTTTCAAATATTTATGGAAGTGGACAGGTAAGAAATAATAAGATCTTGTTCTTCTAATGTTCCTGTCTTTGATAGTAAGGTAAGGTGCGTTCTGCATGTCTCTGCATGTCTGTTCTTCATCTGTGTTTACGTACTGTACTAATAGTTACGTACTCTTCACCCACTTTCTTATACTTTGTCTTTTTTTATTATCTTGAAGTTTAAAAAGAACACTGGTCCCTTATCTGGTATCATACTGTAATCACTTTCTACCCCCCCACCACCGCCAATGACCTCTTATGGTATGTATTGTTACAGATAAGTTTAGAGCTTTTTGCATCCCACAAGATCTTTATGATATGTCTAGGTATAGCTTTAACTTCATTTCTCTGGCTTCAGACTCTTTGTGACTCCTGAATTTGAGAAATATGGTTTTCATCTATTCTGGAAGAGCCCTAACCATTATTTCTTAAAGCATTACCTCTCCTCAATTCTGTTCATTTTCTTTTTCCAGAAGTCTTATTCAACATATACCAGACCTTTTACCTCTATTTTCCAAGTCCCCTAACTTTGCTACCATACGTCATTATCTCCCTGAGCTTTAATCTGTATAATATACTTACTCTGTTTAAATATGCTGTGTAATTATTCTGTATAAATTACTTTATTCTGTATAATTCTGTTCTACCTTCTGTTTCACTAATTCAGTCATTAGCTAGTTGTCTAATGACTAATGACTTCGTTTCTAATTTCAATGCCTAAATATGTCTTTTGTATTTCAAGTAGTGCCTTTCTTAAATATGCCTGTTCTTTTGGGTATCTTCTTACGTTTTAGAGTCTATCCTTTATTTCTTCAGTTATTTTAAGCATGCTTATATAAGGCATTTATCAGTTTATCTGACTCTTGGAAGTTCTCAGCAATTTGATCCTGCTATGTGTTGAGTCTGAGGACTTGCCTTGGATGATCGCCTCTGTGAGCGTTTCTAATTTTGGATCTGGAAGTCATATTAAGTGGAGCTTCATCTTCAGTAATTCTGTGTGATCTGTGTTAAGGAAATCAGCCTGGGCCCGGTTCTTAGTTCAGTTTTTCAGCCGAGAGAGAGTTCTCAGACAATAAAAACAGTGAGAATTGCAACCCCCAACTTCCCATGACACAGTTACGAATTTTCGGAATTTGAAGGAGAGGCTTTTTCTTTTCAAACCAGAGCTCAGTACGTGTAAGTTATCACTGTCTCACTGTTGCAATGGACAGAGCCTCTTTAACTCAGTTTCGAACCCCTTTGAGGGCTCTGGTTCTATAATAGGATCTCCATTATAATCGCCTTCCTGGCGGAAGTCTAAGGCTTTATTCCTCATCCCCAGGGACCTAGATCTCAAGACCCCTGCATCACTGAAACTGATGTCTGCTCCCCACCCCAGTCCCAGGGCCACTGAAAAGTTAGTTCATACTGCAAACTTTTCATTACATCCACGGGGATATCTCTTACTATCTTTGGAGCTATGTATTTAAAAAGACATTTGCCATATTTTTACTGGTATATCTAGATGTTTATAACAGGCAGTTTTTCAGGTAATTTAAGATATCAGAATCTTCCAGATGAAACTTCAAAGAAGACTGTCAGGTTTTAACATCCAGTTGACACATGTATCAGTTGAGAGACAAAGGAACACAGCACTGGAAAGAATATTAAAACCCATTAAGGCAGTCCCAGCCAGACCATTCACTTCAGAGAAGCAGAGACTAAGACCCAGGGTAACTATGACCTTCCCAGGGTCACACAATTGGCTAGTGATAAGTCTGGGCAACAAATCAGGTCTCCTGAACCCCAACCTAGCATTTTTCCCACCAAATATTTCCTCCTAATTTGTAGCACTGGGGCAGCGTCATGTGTGATATACGACACTTGTCGCCCTGTATTTGCTTTTGCATTCTTTCATTTCAGTAGGCGAACGCCAGTCCCTGGGAGAAAAGAACCAAAATGTCTACTAGAGCAGAAGCAAAGGGAGTGGGAGCTATTTCCAGTGATGGGAATTTAAACACGGCTCACGCGCAAACCTCCAGGAAAGGTAAACTCAGGTACTGGCTACAGCTAAAACTGGTATCTGTGTCATCTCGACTTCCCTTGTGGTGATATACATACAGCATGATGCTCCCACCAACTGCCAAGGGCTCTAAATAGCTGTAAAGCGTCTTTTGTGGAGAATTATTTCACTTCTTGCCAGAAACCTTGAAGGTATATAGGACAGGTAGGTATCACAACGTATTTATAGATGAATGAAAAAATTCAGAGCAGATGTCAGGTGGAAAACATGGAAACCGGTCTTGGGTTTTCCGATTTTAAGTCCAGGAGCATCCAGTTAGGTCTCTCTGCCCTGCCTCAAAGAGAACGGGCTTTTCCTTTCCACCACGTCACAAAAGTCATTTTTCCTCCTCTACATTGTCTATATCACAACCAGATGCTTTTCTATAATATGTCCTAAGAAAACCTGGTGAACACCTTATTTTCCCCCAAACTTTTAATGGGTCATAATTACGTGAGTCATTAATTCTCTTATGGAAATAGACTTTTCATAAGATAACACCTTTGAACAGTAAAGCACTAACTAAGGTGGCATGCTTTACAATCCTCAACGTTTCAGCCAGTGTGTCTGCTCGGAAGTGAGCATGTCTCAAGGACTAGAGGATTCTTCTAATCTTACCCATCAAAGGAGAAATAGGAGATGTGCATTCTAATACTCAGTCTACAGTTAACTAGGAACCGTTCGACCTGGAATGAATCCCATTGCCTCAGCTTCCTCATCTGGAAAATGGGAGAGCTTGATTCTTGTATCTCAAAGACCTCATCCACATCTAAGTAGTTAAGAGTCTATCGGCCAAATTCTCCTATCCCAACTCTCTCTCAAAATCAGTAATATAAAGAACTTATAGATAAAAATTTTCCATGTTTGCAGTCCTGATTTTGCCATTTATGAGCTATGTGACCTTAGGGAAATTACTTAAACTTTGTGCGTCTCAGTTTCCTTATTCATAAATACATGATAATAATAGTACCTACCTCACAGCATCTCCACGAGAATTAAATGTTATAATATGTAAACCACTAAGAACAATGCCTGGCACACACTAAACACCATATCAACTTTAACCATGATTATCACCTCTCACACAGTGTCCCCCCCCAGCCCCCATTTTGGCAGTGGTGGGACTCATATGTGGTCTTTCTGGTTTCTTCTACAGTCTTCTAGGGCATCCACCCCACCATGCTGCTTAGTCCCCTGCTGACTCTCTAGGAGCTACAGCTCTATCCAATCCCTTAGTAACCCATTTGACCTGTCATTACAAATGGCATCATGCTAATAATAATCCTTTTTTGGCCAAATCTTGTCCCACCTGATAAGGTAGAGCCCCAACTACTCTTCATAGTCCCACCTGGGTATTTTGTTGAGTCTCCAAGTATTTCTCACAGTGCTTATGCATAAACCCTGCTGGTTGCTTCATCCGTTGGTGGCCAGCATCAATTTCCACTCATCTCTCTCTCTCTCTGGCCCACACTTCCTGGGCACTCCTGGGTCCTCTTCTCACACCCTCAGGGCACTGCTGGGGCTTTCTCTAGGTCCCCGTGTCCCCAAAGGCTACTGACATCTTTGCTGGGCTTGACTGCACTTCTAAGAGACTCACAGAACCAAATCCAGCTATTCCGTGGGACACAGAGAAATGCCCCTCCCCCATTACATGTCACATCCAGTCACCTCTGATAACCACGTGCAGCCCCGAGTGGGCAATTTTCAAGGGGACACTCAAAAGTCACAGGCAGAGGGGCGCCTGGGTGGCTCAGTCGTTAAGCGTCTGCCTTCAGCTCAGGTCATGATCCCGGGGTCCTGGGATCAAGCCCGATATCGGGCTCCCCGGTCCGCGGGAAGCCTGCTTCTCCCCCTCCCACTCTCCCTGCTTGTGTTCCCTCTCTCGCTGTGTCTCTCTCTGTCAAATAAACAGAATCTTAAAAAAAAAAAAGTCACAGGCAGAAATCCCATGTCCACCATCACTGATCCTCCTCCATGGGTCTCCAGCTACCTCACAGCATCATGGCTTCTTACCACGTTCAGCCTTCCAAACTTTGCCAGAATGCCCTCATGGTTGGAAGCCTGTCTGTCTGAATGGTAGATTGACGGCTGTCACTTCCAGGTATTTGTCTCTCTGTGGAGAACTTGGAAGGGCAAGAATGGCAGCGAGAATTCACGAACAGCATCAGGCACAGCTTCCTTCCTCCCCATCCAAAGCCCATGTGGAGGTGAATATACCCCAGCCCATGGAAAGAATGTCACCCAGAGGCCAGGCTACAATAACATCCCTCTCTGAAAGTTCCAGAAATAAACAAGCAAGCACACCGCTTGGAGAAAGTATCTCCGTCCAGGTTAAAACTAGGGAATTGTTCTACCACACACTACGAATTCTAAGGCTCATTGATGGGTTTAATACATTCCGGATGAGGTTGAGAGAGGCTGCCAAGAGCTGACAGAAGTCTCCTCCTTGGAGCATGGTACAGTGATATAGGAAGAGAGGGAGGACACCCGTTACTGTGAAGCGTTGGCTCACGCTCCCTAGCTCCGAATGGCAGTGTCTAGAGGCCAGCAACCACCAGCAAGGTGAGGCCACCACAAGCAAGGGGAGTCTGGGATATGGCGGGTGAAGCTCACATGGCCCACATCCTGCTGTTTCCCCATCCACAGCTTACCCATCTTTCTGAAGATCTGCAGCTTAGTATCTTGGGCCAGTGCAACAGACCGAAGCAGTACATGCATGATGACAGAAATTAACTTGGAATTTTTGGGGACTTGTCCTCAAGATTGACCAGGTCATTGCAAAATTCAAATGGAAGAGTAGTTACTTCCCTTGAACTGGCAAAAGAATTCCAAGGCCTCCTCCTGCCTCCCACCAGCTGCCACCTACCCCCTCATGCACACACTGTTACCACCACATGGTGGCAGGCCTCAGGCCAGCAAAGGTGGCCCATTTCCATACATGGCAAAGGTTTCAACACATGGGAACTAAATCACAGATGACTGATCTCTATGGTCCAAGACTGGGGCATGAGGGATGTGTAAATATGCTAGCACAAAGAAAAGAAAAAGAAAAGGAATGTATTAGATCAAAGAGTGATCATGGCATATTAAATGCATGTTTGGTGCCAGGCACTGTTCTAAGCACTTAATGTGGATTAATTCACTGAATCCTCACAACATTCCTTCAAGGAAGGTATTCCTCCTAGCATCCTCTCCATTGAAGGAGCCAGATTTCAAGCAGAAAGGAAGTAACTCATTTAAGTCATCGAAGCACAAAGAGGTGTCATCTGGATTCACACCAGAGCAGTCTGATTGCTAACCATCATATTACACGGCTGCGCTTATTTTATCTGGGGAAACTGAAGAATATTTTCGTTTCCGATTTAAGATCTCAAGAATAGTAAGAAGCTCAGAGTATAGAAAGTAAATCAACAGGAAAATGTGCAAGAAGAGTCCAAAGTAGAGGACAAAGGAAACTAAATATATGACTTCCGAATAAACAGTAGGAAGGAAAGAAGTGATCACTACAGGAAATCGAATCAGTGACATAGAGCCAAGGCTTAGAAAAGTCATGGAAGATGCAGAGGGAGACCAAGACAAGTGGCTCCAAAGATGATGGGCATGAAGAAGGGAAGAAAATAGAGACTGCATAAGAATAAATGAAAGCAATTTAATCAAGCATCCAGTTCACTGAGTCTATACCTTCAAGGAAAGTATGTGGAAAAACAAAAGAGACAACCTCAATGTAGAAAAAAAGTAAACTCAAATCATCAAGGAAATCGCAATGAAAAATATATACAAGAGCTGAGTCTTGGACAGCAGATGCCCTTCACAGCAATAAAATAATTCCTGACTCAGGTTGATCAGACAGAGAGATTAAGCACACGTAATCGTGGGGACAAAGGAGACAGAAGCATTTCAAATGTGTAAGGTGTTAATCACGGGGAAGCAGATAATATCCATAATTTCTATGGAAATAACGTTTACAAATTTGAATTAAGAAAAATTGCACACGTCAAAAAAACACGCAAGAGGTGAAGAGAGGTGTCAGAAAGTTAACCCTTTTAAAACAAACAAATTATGTCTTGGTGGTTTCACTAGGAAAACTCAGTGAGATTCTCTGGAGCAGAAAATGCCTCTGTATCCAGTGCCTGAAGGAGGTGGGGCATAGTTCCTCACTCCTTATGTGTGAACTGTGCGTGTGACTTCTTGCAGAGCCCAGCATGGAAAGGGCCTGAACAAGAGCAGCTTCATAGCAGAGAAACCTGACAAATACTTCTTCAAACCGGTTGTTGAGGGACACTCTACAAAATGTCTGACTGGTACTCTTCAAAATCATCAAGGTCATCAGAAACAGAGAAAGTCTGAGAAACTGTCGTAGCCATAAATATCCCAAGGAGACATAACAATTAAAGGTAACTATGCTCTCCTGAATGGGATTCTGGAACAGAAAAGAGACATCAGGTAAAAACTAAGAAGTCTGAACATAGTGTGGACTTTAGCTAATAATCATACATTGCAGTAGGTTTATCAACTGTGACAAATGTACCATAGTAACAGAAGATGCTCATAATGGGAAAGTGGGTGTGAGGGACACAGGAACTCAATACTTCAGGGGCGCCTGGGTGGCTCAGTTGGTTGAGCGTCTGCCTTCGGCTCAGGTCATGATCCCAGGGTCCTGGGATCGAGCCCCGCATCAGGCTCCCTACTTAGCAGGGAGCCTGCTTCTCCATCTCCCTCTCCACTTGTGCTCTTTCTTGCTATCTCTGTGTCTGTCTCTCAAATAAATAAATAAAATCTAAAAAAAAAAAAAAAAAGGAACTCAATAATTCTGTAAGTCTAAAACTGTTCTAACATAAAAAAGTGTATTAAGAAAAAAGAAAATGAGGGGTGCCTGGGTGGCTCAGTCGGTTAAGCCTCCAACTCTCGGTTTCAGCTCAGGGCATGATCTCAGGGTCATGAGATCGAGCCCTGCGTCAGGCTCTATGCTCAGCAGGGAGTCTGCTGGAGATTCTTGGTCTCCCTCTTCCCCTCCTGCTCTCTCTCTCTGAAGTCAATAAATAAATCTTAAAAAAAGAAAAAAGAAAATGACTATATACCTAAAATACTTCAGGTTATAGATTGAGATGGAAAGCCTAAAACCTTTCTTTCCTTACAAGGCTAGCATGTCAAAAATTACACATACACACATATTCACAATAATATTCACCCGAATTCAATTATATATGCCAATGTAAAATTCTAGCCAAAATATTACCAAATAAATCATGTGTTTTCATTACAACAGCCTATTAAGAAGAGATCATTTCAAGAATGTAAGCACAGTCAGATATTATTAATAATAATTATAATGAACTTACATAAACCTACTCAATTCTCACCACAGCACCTGAGGTAGGCTCTATTATTAACCCCATTTTACAGGTAGAATTTTGAGGCTGCAGATAGCTCAGTAATATGCCCAAGAACACACAGCTGTAAACAGAGCAGATCCAGGTGTCTGACTCTATGATTCAAATATATTTCATAAAACTCCTGCATCCACATCAAAACAAGAAGAAACAGGAATAGGAGAGCTTCATACAATAAAAGTGCAGGTCTCACCAACAAGAACAAGTCCCAGCAGCACACTTAACGGTGTGATGTGAGAAACATGCTCAGTGAATTCAAATATGCTCTCACCACTCCTATTTAACACTGTTTACAAACTGCCAGGGAATAAATTACCCAAGAGGATGAAATGTTACAAATAACAAAAGTAGCCATGCACTGTTTTCCACTATTAATACTTAACACATGTGTGGGTTTGGTTTTCTGCTCTAAACCCAGAGAAAGGAAATATGAAAATAATAGGGAGAGGACTCAGTTATAGAAACAATAAAAAGTCTCTTTAGAAACTTGTGTGGGGGCCGCCTGGGCGGCTCAGTTGGTTAAGCATCTGCCTTCGGCTCAGGTCATGATCCCAGGGTCCTGGGATCGAGCCCCACATCGGGCTCCCTGCTCGGCGGGAAGCCTGCTTCTCCCCCTCCCTCTGCCTCTCCCCCTGCTCATGCTCTCTGCTCTCTCTCTGTATCTCTGTGTCTCAAAGGAATAATCAAAAAAAAAAAAAAAAAAAGAAACAAAACTTGTGAGGGACTTAACTGAAGAGAACTAACTGTAAGATTGCAACTCGGGCCAGAGAAGAAGACGTGAATCCACAGGGAGCCACCCCTGTTCTTGGCTAGGAGAAGACAATGCTCTCCATGGGGCAATCCCGCACAATGCCATCTGACACATCTATACAATGCTGATCAAAACTCCAATGTAAATTCGTGTGCATGAGGTAGGGGACAATCTCAACTGAACGCCCCGCCCCCACCCCCCGAGTTAAACCAAAGGTGGGGGTCTCTGTCTCTACTCCTGGAACTTGACAGTCATGCCTCCACACAACAGGAGACAGCCCTGGCCACTTCAACTGCGTTTGCTCCCCCAACACGAGGCAGGAAACGGGACACCCACATGCCTTGAGGATGGGGTCATATATTACACTTCTGGAATTTCTCTCGAGGGACAGTCGATCAATCCTTCTAACTGTTGCCAAACTAACATACCTGGACTCAAGCCCAGGGACGACCCCAGACCCCTCATGGATCACTGGCAAATTTCGTGCGAGCCCAGATTACAGTATCAAGATGAAGCTGAAATGCTTCTGTAGTCCAAGCTAGCCTACCTTTGGTGCCTCATCTCCTCCCAGCCCCTGACCTGCTAATCTGCCTCATTCTCTGGTAATAGGGTGGGGTCCTTGGGAGTCATTTCCAACAATTCCTCTCTCTTACTATCCGTATCCCCTCGACCACTGCCTCCAGCCTGTTCTCTGTCCAATTTCATTTCTTTCCAGTCCCACTCTCATGAGCTCATCCCAGAGCCCTGCCTCGAAAACCTTCCTAACACTCGCTCTGGCCAGTTCCACACCTTCTTCAAGTCTCTGCTCAAGTAATGATTCTGAGAAAGTTACTGACCCCTCACCTCCCAGGGGGACAGGTGTCCACCAGCCACCTGCAGAGCAATGTCTGCTCTCTATTTCTATTTCTCCTCCACAGACTGCAGTCTTCTCCCTCTTCCAGACTTAGGAAAGATGGGAGAAAAGCACCCTGATTGTAAGACTTTCTGTGCCTCTTCATCTCAGGCTTTTGCTCAGTCCGACATGGGCTGGCCCTCATCATGCATCTCTGCAATTTTTCACTTAACTCCCAAAAGATGAGCCTGAGCATCGCCATACCAGCCATGGTGAATAGCACAGCCTGGCCTGGCCCACTCAATGCCTCCACAGAAGGGCCTTCCGCCCACTCCCAGGACGGCTGGAATGGAACTCTACGGCAACTTAAGGCAGTGGTAAGTTTCATGAGACTCCAGACCCTTTCTCTGACTAGGATGGCTTGACCTAAAGGGTTATTTATTAAGCATCTACTACGTTCAATGAACTATACTACACGAGAACATAATGTGGAGCTAAGGAGATTATATCTCTGTTAGTGTTTAGGAGTGTAACCAGGGACTAAGTTAGAATGCAGGAAACCACTTCAATCTTTAGTGGACATACATTCTTCCCCTACGAGGATGAAAATCACAACCTAAGTTTCACAGATGTTTACTTTTACTTTCTTCCTTCACATATTTTTAAAGTTACCTTGCCTATAATGCTTTCTTCTTTATAACCTTTCTTTCTTTACGGGATCTCTTACATCTTAATGGGTCAGTTAATTGTGTAACCAGGGAAACTGTGTAAAAGGAAAGAGTACGTTGGGCATATGTTTGGGTTTTTGTTTTTGTTTTTGTTTTTAATGAAATTTGTAGACTGGAGGAACTGGAGAGAAGTAGAAGGAGAGAGAACTGCCAGTTTTTTGTTTTGTTTTGTTTTGTTTTGTTTGCCTCTCAAGTTCACATGATAAACACTGTCAACTCTCTGGCCAAAGATGAACAGTGAGATTCTCTTTGTCCCCTAGGCTCCTCTGTATGACTGGAGTCCTGAAATCCAGGGGATCCTTCTCAGCTCTACCAACTATGGCTCATTCTTGGCTCCAATCCCTACTGGCTACATAGCTGGACTATTTGGAGCCAAGTACTTGGTGGGTGTTAGCCTGCTTCTTTCCTCAATCTTGGCCCTCTTTATTCCATTGGCCGCGGATGCAGGAGTGCTCTCGCTCATTGTCTTGCGGATTGTTCAAGGCATAGCCCAGGTACCGAGATGCTTTTAAAGATAAGTGAGATATTGGTTACAAAACGACCTCAGATAGCCAAGAATGGAACTTTTTTTTTTTTTCCCCCAGGTTATGGTATTAACAAGCCAGTTTTCAATTTGGGTCAAATGGGCTCCCCCACTAGAAAAGAGTCAACTCATCAACATCGCTTTATCAGGTAATTGATGCCCTAAATTGTCAACTTGATGCACTGTCCAAGAGTACTCTGCAATGGACTATCAACACAAGCAAAACCTTATATTCCAACTACCCTGTCTCCCTGCTTGAAAGCACGGCCGTGACTGTCTCACCCAAAATATCCTCACATCTTCTGTTTAGGGGAATTGATGGGATCCTTCATTACTTTGCTCGTCGGGGGTTTCCTCTGCGAGACCAAAGGGTGGCCTTCTATCTTCTATATCTTTGGTGAGTTTGGGCTTCTCAAATCTCAGGATTTGGGGTTTTTTTGTTTTTTATTTTATTTTATTTTATTTATTTGAGAGAGAGAGCACAAGCAGGGTGCAGGGGCAAAGGGAGAAGCAGACTCCCCCCCAACGGGGAGCCCGATGTGGAACTTGATCCCAGGACCCCGGGATCGTGACCTGAGCCGAAGGCAGACGCTCAACTAACTGAGCCACTCAGGAGCCCTCAGGATTTTGTTTTGTGACAGAGAATGCTGGGCATGCTTTTCGTGATACAAGTCATCTATGGTTAACCAAATCCTAATAGATGTGACTATTTATATAACTAAAGTTGATAATGTTCAGAGTTAATCATGTTGTGAATCTTGCAAAATGACATTTACATCTCAGGAGGCTGGATGCGTAGCTAGAATGACCTAATGACTTCAAAAGCATCATAATGTTCCGTCCTGCTTCTAAACCGAACACACAACGAGACCCAGAGGGATTTCTTTCATAAGATGTTGAAAATGGTATCTTGGTGGGATGATATTTTTAGTTATGCTTATTTATTTAATTCATTTTTTTAAATCCTCCTATTATTACAACCAGAATATTGTAAGACTGTGACCTAATCACAAAATGCTGATTGGCACAGAGAATCAACCAGTAGAACCTGCAAGACAGTGCAGGCCGTGTGAAGCTCCAGAGTGGACGTAATGCATTAAGAGATGCTGCAGAAGGTCCCAAAGATGCTCGGAGTATTCCAGAGGCAGCATTCTACTACTTCACAATTTTGCCTTTACCCAGCCCTGGTGGGGGTCTGCCCAGCTGCTTGCAGCTAATGTTTGTGTTTGAGTTTTAAAACATTCTCTGAAGTCCCATCTGCAACCTGTGTGATTCCAGTAAGACCACTGAGCACCACTGGTGCTTCCATCAGCGGATAATACTCTTATATCAAGGGTTCCTGTAACATCAGGTCAATATATTCACTAGAAAAAGAAATGTGTGAAGATGGATTACTTCAGCATGGTGACCTGCAAAGGCTTTGTCATGGAAACTTCAAAGGGCAGGTTACAAAAATTATTCGAGCACCATGAGAGGCTTATTCTGCTCATGGTTTTCAGAAAGGGAAGCTACAAATGTATATCTGCAGGGAAGGAAGTCAGTAAAATACCTGTTGACATCCTCCACCCTCAATCTACTCCAGTGGTAATTTTCGTATCTATTCTTCCCTACTTGATTTTAAGTTCCTTGATGGCAAAATTGTATCTTTGTATTTTTATACTCTCAAAATCTCACAAATGCCTGGCATAGGGTAGTTCTGTACTCTGTGGTAGCTCTTCACTCTCTACTTGTGAAGCAATGTGTAAAGGAGAAGCTAGCAAGTAAAAAGAGCTATTACGATTAGGGCAAGTGTGGTGAGGAGCACTGGGTGTTACACGCAACTGATGAATTGTTGAACACTACATCAAAAGCTAATGATGTACTGTATGTTGGCTAATTGAACATAATAAAAAAAGTATTGGGAAAATTGGTGATGTTTATATAAAATCTATAGATTAAATAATATTTTCATTAAAAAAATAAAATCTACACTCTGCTTCAAAAAAAAGAGATTTTCTTAAGATTCTAAAAAAGAAAATTTTAAGATGAATTTTATTTCCACTCAACACTGGTAACGCTGGGTTGTTCCACACTGTCATCATGTATAGACAGGTGGTGGGGAAGCTCCCTCCACCAGTGATGGGGCCATAGCATACATACAGATAGGAGTCGAATATTGGGGGCATTCTGTCAATCCCAGGAGTCATGTCAGTGCAGAGTCAAACTGAAAGAACTCCCATCAAGGGCTAATGCGATCTTCTTTCTAGGTGGAATTGGCTGTGCCTGTTCTTTTCTCTGGTTTCCTCTTGCTTATGATGACCCCATAAATCACCCGTTTATCAGCACCGGTGAGAAGGAATATATCGTGTGTTCACTGGCTCAACAGGTGTGTTTGATGAACTTCTCTGCCAGTTCCCTGTGTCCGTCCGGGTGTCTCGGGGGCGGAAGAGGGCATTAGAGCAAAGCTCTTGTCTTCTGATGGAGGAGTGTTGATATCTGCTTTCTTCCAGGACCGTTCACCAGGCTGGTCCCTTCCCATTAAGGCTATGATCAAATCCCTACCACTTTGGGGCATTTTAGTCTTTTATTTCACCGGATTCTGGACTATTAATATTTTAATGGCATACATTCCAACATACATCAGCTCTGTACTTCAAGCTAACCTCAGAGATGTAAGTATAGAGAAAGCCCATTCTGTTCTTCTGTCTAAATGTCTCATTATATAATCCTCTGTCTCACTTACGGCCACAAAATCAGGGGATTAGGCCCAGGACCTTCGTGTAGGAAATGCATCCTGGTTGCGTGAATTCTGAATCATCTCACCGCAACCTACTGCTTACTGGGGAAGACTGGGACGGTTCTAGGGAAGCGTGGCATTCACAGAATGTCCTGTTTTCTAAGGGACCGATGCAAAACTTTTATGTTCAATCCAATCAGCATTTGCAAACAAGATATTCTGCTGGCAGCATTAACGATACAGTGTTAACAAAACAAATTCTGCCTTCCAGAAGGCTTGGCAGGGACCATAAACAACATCTGCTGAAAACATGTCCCAAATAGGACTCCTACCCAAAACTTGCAGAGAATGGTCTTCTAAAAAATGTGTTATTCAAGTATGATATATCCAAAGTGCACCTGTGTGTACAGCTGAGTTTTCACAGAATGAACAGGTACCCTGATGGGTGGACAGGAGCCTTTAAATTCCTACAAGATGGAGGTCTTAGAAGTGGCAAAGAGTGTATCAGATTTCAGAGCCTCTTAGCGGCAGTTCACAAGGTTACTGAGTGACTGCTACATTCTTGTGTTTGGACGAAAACAGCAGTGCTCTCATGTTGACTGGGCTCCCCTGCTAACTGGCCAACAGAGAGCTGACTTTCGGAGCAGAGGTCAGAGTCCAGGGTGCACGCATTGCAACAGGCTGGAGGTACTGAGATCAGAAAGCCCAGGGGTTGAGTGGCCATGGGTCTCCACAAAGGAGGAGGCCAGAAGCGGGCAGCAAAGCCAGAATCTCAGGTGAGGCCATCAGGGGACAGGAGGTCCGAACAGACATCCCTGAGGCCAGCTGTTGGGAATGATTTGTCTCTGCTGTGAGGCCAAGGGGGCTCCCCATCTCAGAGGCCAAGGCTGAGGGCAAGGAGGATGGCGGAAGGACTGGAGAGACCAGTGGAGACCAGACGGTTGAGACCAGGCTTTCTCAGCTTGGGAAGAGTCAAGAGGCCCCGACTCCCGTTGGTCTCAGGGTGGCTTCTCCCTAAGTCACAAAACCTTGGTGGCTTCGGTTTACTCATCCATGATATGAACAGTTGGGACACGGTGACCGTTAAAGCCTTTCCATTTGGGGGATTATACACAACATTTCTTTCCTTGCATTTTCTTTAATAACACTGTAATACAGAGGCTGAGCTGATCAAACCGGGGTTCAACATTTTTTAAACTATATCCAAAGATAGGAGTGAAAAATCTTCCTCCCTTTCCCATCCCCAGTCTGTCCTGTTCTCCCAGCCCACTCCCAGCCACAGATAACTCTTTTTTATTCATTTCTTATATATTCTTCCACTGCTTCTTTATGAGGATGCAAGCATTCATGAACATATCTTCTTATTTTGTCACTTTTTTTTTTTTACACAAAACCTCATGTGCTGTGTATGCTGCTATTCTTTGTATATTACGCCACTGTGACCTTTTCAGATCAGTACATGGGAAACTTACTGCGAGACATTTGGGTTGTTTCCAATCTCTGAGCAAAAAACCTTGCTCATCTGCTACACATCTGAGCAACTGTTTCTGCATGTCTGAGTTCAGGGTAGATGCAGTGCAAACTTTTGTATCTATTGTCAAATTGCTCTCCATCGGGCACTGATAATATTTGCAAGTACCCAGTTTCCCACAGCATCCCTGTAGATCAGGTCAAAAAACTGTTGATCGGTGAAAAAGTAGTTCTTTTCACTATGAGGCTGGACAACTTTTAATACGTTCAGGAGTCCCTTATTTTCCTTTTTCTGTAAGTTGTTCCTGTTTTTTGCCTATTTTTCTACTGGGTTTTGTTCTTTTTAAGAAATCTATTTCCAGGTGACCTTTACATATGAAGAGAGCATTGGTCTTTTTTTTTTTTTTTTCCAAATTGAACTGTATCCATATTTTCTCTCAGGCACCAAAATTGTGTTGGCTCATTCCAGTAACCTGAAATTTGTATTCAAGGAGATATGTATATAGAGAGAAGCTATACAAGTAGAAAGCCACCCAAGGGTCAGTGTGTGTCACAGTGTGGGAAGTGAGGCTTGCACCTTACTTGTCTCTGGTCCTCAGAGTGGAATCCTGTCAGCCCTGCTGTTAGGTGTTGCCTTTATCAGCACTATCCTTTGCGGTCTACTGGCGGATTTTCTTCACTCCAGAAAAATCTTCAGACTCATTACCATCAGGAAACTCTCTACCGCCATTGGTAAGGACTGAGGTACATCCTGGGATGGATGCGGGAAGCTCTGGGTGGTTTTGATTCACTCTGTGTTTGTCCTCCTGCTGCAGGGGTTCTTGTCCCATCTGTGGTCCTCGTGTCCCTGTACTGGGTCAGATCCAGCATCAGCACCAGTATGGGCTTGTTGGCACTGTGTTCCGCCGCCACCACCTTCTGCCAAACAGGAGCGCTTATTAACTTCTTGGATATTGCTCCTCGGTAGGGACCCCTTTGCCACATCCGCACAGAAGCTCAGCTTAGGTCCCGCAGCCTTAAACTCACTCGGATGCCCCAGTTCCATGTGGGTGATCCGTGCTGCAGGTCACAGGAAATGTCAGCATCAGCCCTACATCCAAATAATTCCTGGAAGGGACCCAAAGCTAGTCCACCACCGTGCACTCAGTTTTCCAGGTGAAGACGGGAAGGCAGTGGCCACACTCACAGCTCAACTGGGGACAGGAGGTGACTCACACCCATATCTCTGTCGGGGAATGCAGCAGTCACACGGCGTTGGATCGGTGAAGGACCCTACGGTGCCGGTTCACTTAAGGCTTTAATAAAGCTTGACTAACAGGAGAGCAAGAGAAACACTGACCTCTGATAGAGGTAGAATCAAAGAGGACTGGGATTTCCAAATGTAGCTCCCAGGATCCTTTCACGGTCAGTAGAACATGCTCTATCTTCAGATAACCAACCGCCATGACCCATGGGAGATGCCCTGGTCTCAGGGGAGCCAACGACTCATCCACTGAGGGGTCTTTTTTTACCCAAAAACAAGGCTGCAAGATCAGGTTCCATAGCAGAAACTAAGAGAACGTACAAACTAGATGCAAACCATCCATCTGTACATTTTGTATAAACAATGTTGACAAGTCCGTACAGCTGACCCTTGAGAGTCTCAGACCCTCAGGCGGGATTATACTAATCTCTAGTCAGCACATTGCATTCAGGCTTGACCAAGGGTCGACTCTGGGCACCCCCAGAGACAAGCACAGAGTTACAACAAGTAAGCTGAGGTGCATGGTTTGCTTATACTGGAATATTCTTTTCTGTCTCAGGTACACCAGCTTTCTCAGGGGACTATCACAAGTCTTTGGCCACTTATCAGGAGCCATTTCTTCCACTGTTGCCGGATTCTTAATCAGTCAGGTGAGGTCGAATGCTCTGATGAAAATATTCATGAGAGAAACCTATGGAGGTTACTCAGGAGAAGTCAGACTGAAGATATTTTTGTTCCCTCCCCAACGGGGCTCAACTTAAAGCTCATGAGTCCTGAACTCCCTCACGACTTCCTCCCAGGCTCAGCTCATGGAGGGCAATTACCACAGGTTTTGGGTGTGGAGCGATAATGAGCGCTCAGTTTTATGAGTTTATACTTTAAGAGTTTTTAGAAGTTTTTCATGCTAATCATCAAAATTTATAGCAATATTCATGGCATTTCTTGCAAAGTATAGAGGGGCCAACCATTCTGGTTTGCCCGTGATTGAGGGGTTTCCCTTCCAGTCGCTAATACTGTCAGGAAATGGCTTTTAATAGGGAAATTCTCAAACTGAATGTTTCCCTTGTCATCCCTTCATTCATCCATTCGTTAATTCCACTTTAGCATGTGCCACACAGTTTAAGTGGATAAAACAAACAAAAGTCCCTGCCTGGTGAAGCTTATATTGTAGGAAAGAAACTGATGGAACACTAGTGAAATCAGTAAAATATAGAGTATACTGAATGGTGGCAAAGTGCGAAGAGAAGAATAAAGCAGGAGAGGAGGACAGGGCACATAGGAGGGGGTGGGATTTCAATTTTAAATAGGGTGGTCTTGGAAGGACTCACTGGAAAGGTAACATTTAAGTAAGGACTAGATGCAAACAAGGGAGGGAGACAAATGGCTATTGGGAGGAGGACTATTCCGGCAGAGGGAAAGGCCAGGGCCCAGGAAATGACCTGTGTATTCCAGGAACAACCAGGAAGGCCACAGAGGCCGGAGCAGGGGCTGGGGAGCTGGACATGCTCCAGACCTTTCTGAATAGGAGGGGCAAGAGCCAAGAGACCATTAACACTTTGTAATTTCCTGCTTCTAGGATTCTGAGTTTGGCTGGAGAAATGTCTTCTTGATTTCAGTTTCTATTAACATGTCAGGCCTGGTCTTCTACCTCATCTTCAGCCAAGCAAAGGTCCAGGACTGGGCTACAGAGCAGACAGTTACTCAGCTCTGAGCAAACTGGGTGCCTCAGATCCCAACGTTTAGCCATTCATGGTTTGCCCTCATGGACGTTCCCTCTTAGTACCTGCTTGACTGGTTAGCCATTTAATTTGCATTGACTTTGTTTCCAGTATCTTCTCAGAGAGCTTGGCTGTGGAATACTGAAGGTTCTGCCTGCAGAGGTTACAGTGGTGGGTGTGGGTTGGGGAAGGCCAGTTATTTAACTGTGAGCTCTGGAAAGCATAGGTGTGTCTGAATTTCCAAGTGTTGTCCACTCTGCCCACTATTATTGTGACTTAATAAGAAATACATATTTGGTCTCTGCCCCCACTTTCTGGAACAGAGCTCCAGAATTTCAGATTAGTGAAATCTCAGATTTCTTGAGTGGTAGAGATGATAGGAGCACCTTTCGTCATAATATTTGGACTCAATCCCTGGTTCCCGACACAAGAGCTTCTAAGACCTTGGAATTTGTGGAGTGATGAGAGTGCCTTGGGTATTCTATTGAGATGACTGGTGGCTGGGGGCTACCCATGGCTTCTGGGGATCACTGAAGCTACCCATAGCTTCAGGATGGGGCCTGGTCTCCAGAAAGACCAAGGCATGAGTAGAAGGTTGGAATTCCAGCTCTACCATCCCACCTCCAGGAAGAGGAGAGGGGCTGGAGATTGAGTTATTCCTCAGTTGCCATTTACTCAATCATATCTATGCAATAAAGCTTCTATAAAAACTTGAAATGACAGAGTTCCAAGAGCTTCTGGCTTGGGGAGCATAGGGAGGTCCTGGGACAGTGGTGACCCAGAGAGGGCAGGGAAGCTCTGCGTCCCTTCCCACATTCCTTGCCCTGGGCATCTTTTCCTTTTGGCTGTTCCTAAGTTATATCCTTTATAATAAAGCAGTAGTAATAGTTAGCAAACTGTTTTCCTGAGTTCTGTGAATCATTCTAGCAAATTATCAAATATGGGGGGTCATGGGAACCCACAACTTTGTAGCTAAGTCAAACAGAAATGTGGGTACCTCAGGTACCCACTACTTTGATTGGTGTCTGGGTGGGGGCCGCCTTGTGGGATGAAGCCCTTAACTTGTGGGGTCTGCACTAATTCCAGGTATTAGTGTCAGAACTGACTTATATTATAGGACACCCAGCGGGTGCTGCCAGAGAATGAGAGCACTGCCTGGTGTGAAAAACCCACACATTTGTTGTTAGAAGTGCTAAGGACAGAAGCCCTTTTCCTTTAGTTATCCTGGTAAAAGCTTCAGGGGACACAGGACAATTTCTCACCAAAGCAAAAAAGGAAGCCAGAACCATGGGAGTGAGAACAGAGGATCACAAGAGGAATTGTGTCCAAACAACCAGATGATGAACCCCAAGAGCTATCTTCCAAAGAGAGCCTCAAACAATGGAAGCCAGAGTGTACACAATCCAAAGTCCTAGGCCAGGGGTTCAGAGCAAGTCATGCTGCCCTCACATCAAGGAAGGACGGACACAGGGCCATTCTGAGGCTCGGCCAAAGCAAGATGCCCAGGAGAAAAATACCAAGGAGGAAAGAACGATGAGGACTGAATCCACCATACGCAGAGAAATGCTCATGCTTGTGACTAGTGACAGTGGGGTAGGAAACCTGGGCTCTTCCAGATAACTTGCTTTCTGTGGATGCTCGTGCTGGAATCAGAGCCGCCTCTTTCAGGCATGTAGCGCTCAGGGGTCCCCCAGACGCCACTTTTCCCAATCACCTTCTTTCTGGCCGTTGTAACCTCTGCCCCGCATCTGGTCTGTGGATCCATGTAGATCCCTCGCACCTTAGGGAAAAGACGTTGTCCAGGGTCCCTCCTCTGCCCTCGAACATCTGTTCCTGCGGCCTCAGCTGGTCTGGACGCCCTTGCTCGGCTCTTCTGGCTGCTGGAATCCCACCTGCCTTCAGTGAGCCTCACTCCACGGTCACCTCATTCACTTACCAGTTCTTCCTAAAGTGTGTGTGCAAGACCCATGCTGGCTTGACCCCACTCCACAGTCTGCAGAGTGCGTGCCGTGTGTCCGCTTTCATTAATCCCCCACGTGGGCAGGATCGGGACCATGAAACAAAGTGACAGCATCGAGCACTAAATCAGTATTAATGAACATATAACATGGGTTCCCGGCAGAGACCAAAGTCAGACCCAGCTTCAGGGAGGACAACGTCTCAGGAGAGTGGATGACACACACACATGTGGATGATGACTGTGGGAAAGGAAATAGAAAGGGGAACACGGGTGAGGGGTAAACGGATTACTCGCTGTAGGAGATACACCTGACAAGACTCGGATACCAAACAAGTGGCAGGTGTATGGGGTGACTCCTAGGTTGTGGTTTGCTACTGGACAGATGGGGATGCCTGCGGGACAGAGAGCACACCCAAGTGAAGGTGACAGGAAGGAAAGTAGACACGAGGGAGATCTGGGCTTCACGTGGAACTCTAGGAGGCTTCTAGATACAGGTGGTGATTGAAATGCTTGGCATGGCGGAGGCTGCCCTGGTGACAGGATGGCGTAAGGAGGGAAAGCCTGTGAACGAGGCTTACAGAACTCTGAACACTGAATGGCCAGCCTGGGGGATCATTAGCCTTTTTAGGAAAAGGAAAAGAAGAGGAAACTAGAAAGAGAGAAGGAAAGCCAAGAGAATAGGGTGCTCAGAGAGAGAAGAGAGGCGTGTGTTTCAAAAAGGAGTGGATCAAGAAAGGAGCTTGAAGCAAGCATGATTCAAACCTGGGGGGAGAATCTAGTTGGAAGAAAAAAAATGGACTCTGCTGAAGAACACACACGAGTGCAGGTTCCCAAGGAGGCTGAGGGTAAGGGAGGAACGTGGGCCCGAAGCCCAGGTGGGTGGATGACTGGAGATGCGTGAGGGCACTCCTGCCCACTCCTGCCCTTTCACAGCTGGCTCAAGACCACGTCCTGCTCTCAGGGCACCTCCAACACCTCCCCTAGTTCCTCCCTCCACGCACCCGCCTCCACCCCTGGTTCATTTACGACACCTCCCTCCACCCCCTCTGACTGTAGACTCCGGAAGTGCAGGAACCATGGCACAAATTACTTTGTAATGTCTTTAACACACAACCACCGTGTCTCGTACAGAGTCAATATGTACGTGTGTGGGTGAGTGGGTGGGCGTTCAATCACCGTGCACCTCAATGCGTGGAATGGCCTGTGGTGGTATGTGAGACCAGTTAGGGAAGAAATGGCTGAGAAGGTAAAGGACCCAATTCTTCTTTAATTTCCTTTGTTTCTCAGAACATAGAATTATCTAAACCTATAAATCCCCTTCCTTATCCCATCTGGTGTTGAGACTGAGAGACTGGATCTCTCCTTTCCCCATCTCTGGCAATTACACAGCCAACCCCAGGCTCTCAGCAGCGAGGATCACGGGGTTTGCCCATCAGGGCAGTGGCTCGTACTTGTTTCTGGACCACCCCTGTGGGCATGTATTTCTCTCCTTTCTTTCAGTGGACTCTTCTGTTTTTTCCTCATCTGTCACTTTTAGTTGCTCCTGGAAACAAGTTTGATTTCCCCTTGGCCCTGACTAGTACAGTTTCCCCCAGAATGGGCTCCCTTAAAGTACAGAGACCTTCTCAGATTTTCCACTGATCCACACATCTGCAACACAGAGGAGTGAAAGCTGAAAACAGGGGAAAAGTTCTTTCAGAAAATCTTAGAATAGCATTTATTTTCGTGCGTTTGTTTATTGGTTAAGGTAGCCATCATTTATAAAGGAAAGAATGTGGAGTGGAGACGAACAAACCTACATTTAAAATTCAGACCTGCTACCTGGTCCAAACAACATATGGCACAAAAGAGATGCACGCGGGGTGTAGGGTGGGGACTGGCCATCTTCTTCCTTGGGCCGCTGACCGCCCCTCAGTCCCAGCTCCCAGGCTGGCCCCTCTTCCCGTCAGTGAGGAGGTCAGTCCCAGGTTCTCTCAGTGTTCTGCTTTACACTAAGTTTTGTAGAGAAAGAAAAAAGTGCACACAAATGTCACTGGTGAGTCCTTGTACCCTGCGGACACAGGAAAGCTTTAAAAACAGTTCAAAGGGGGTGCCTGGGTGGCTCAGCTGGTTAAGCGACTGCCTTCGGCTCAGGTCATGATCCTGGAGTCCCTGGATCGAGTCCCGCATCGGGCTCCCTGCTCGGCAGGGAGTCTGCTTCTCCCTCGGACCCTATCCCCTCTCAGGTGTTCTCTCTCTCTCATTCTCTCTCTCTCAAATAAATAAATAAAATCTTTAAAACAAAAAAAAAAACAGTTCAAAGGACTAGTCTGGCCAAGTCTTTTTTTCTCAAGCTGTCTTCCTTGTCCCAATGACAGCTTATCCTAGGCATCTGCTACTCTGCTCTCCTCCCGACATAAAAATAAATGTGACTGGTGAACGATTCCAACATCGTGCTAGGTCCAGGCACACAGGATGAGACTGTCATCACTTGCTCTCTATCTGTGTGGTGTCCTGAAACATTGCACATCTTGGGGTTTGCAGCTCAAGCAGTTTGATATTGCTGCCCTCCCTTATTAATAAGAATACATTTTATCTACAGCAATAACAAGGCACAGTTTTTGTACTTCAGCAAATGCCTATTTTGTGAAATGAAGACTTCCCTTTGTGCCCGCATACGCTCTGGTCTTGCTCAGAAGCATCCCCCGTCCTTTCAAAGAACAAACTGCTAGAGCCTGTGCCCACTGGGAGACCGGACTGAAACCCAGCTTCACCTGGTTACAAAATCCAGAAAGGGCAAATGCCCTAGACACATCTTTCCTCTGCCTAACAGATTCGTCCAGGGCGGCCCAGCGGGGAGGGATTAGGAGTGAGGCCGGGACGTGTGACATACGTGCTGAAACCTGACCACGGTGTGGACAGTGTCTCTGTTGTCTGAGAGCCTGACACAGGGTCTGGAGCTGAGACGGGTGGGAGGGCTAACGTCCATAAGGACCAGTCAGCCAACCCAGGAGAGCTTCACATGGGCCAGCCCCCTTACTGCATTCTGTCATTCTTCACCTTTCTGACTCTCCTGAGCCCCCACTTCTCCCCTCTCCCCATTCCCTTGTCCTCCCTTTAAAATGCCCCTCACCGCTGTATGAATAAAAATTTGAGTTCGGATCTCTCTAGACTCGTTTCCCTTTTGCAACAGTATATTACTGATTAAAATCTGGCGTTACCACTTTCAATAGCATCTAGCTTTGTTTATCTTGGGTCTTAGGGTAGGATGTCAGCACCCAAGAGAGATGAGGAGGGTTTCCATGGTCCAGGAGGGGTGCCCCGGGGTAGGGTGTCAGAGCATGGGCAAGAAAGCAGGGAAGAACATACGATGGGGAAAAGACGGTCACTTCAATAAATGGTGCCGAGAAAACTGGGCAGCTAAATGCAAAACAACGAAACCGGATCACTTTCTTATCCCATATGCAAATTTATTCAAAATAGATTCAAGACTTAAATGTAAGATCTGAAACCATAAAATTCCTAGAAAAAAAACATAGGCAATAAGCTCTCTGACATCGCTCTTAGCGATATTTTTTTTGATCTGTCTCCTCAGGCAAGGGAAACAAAAGCAAAAATAAACAAATGGGACGACATCACATTAAAAAGCTTTTGCATAGTGCAGAAAACCATCAACAAAACAAAAAAGGCAACCTACTGAATAGGAGAAGATATTCGCAAACAACAGATCTGATAAGAAGTTAACACCCAAAATGCATGAAGAACTCCTACAATTCAATGTGTTTTTAAAAAACTAACAATCCAATTAAAAAACAGGCAGAGGACCTGAATAGACATTTCTCCAAAGAAGACATCCAGATGGCCAACAGACACATGAAAAGATGTTCAACATCACCGATCATCAGGGAAATGCAAAACAAAACTACAATGAGGTATCACTTCATAACTGTCAGAATGGCTATGATCAAAAAGATAAGAAACAACAGGCGTTGACAAGAATGTGGATGGAAAAAAAGCCTCATGCACTGTTGGTGGGATTGCAAATTGGTGCAGCCTCTATGGAAAACAGTACAGCGGTCCCTCAAAAAATTAAAAACAGAACTATCATTGGGGCGCCTGGGTGGCTCAGTCGGTTGGGCGTCTGACTCTTGATCTCAGCTCAGGTCTTGATCTCAGGGTCCTAAGTTCAGGCCCCATGCCAGGCTCCATGCTGGATATGGATCCTACTTAAACAAAAAAACAAAAAAATAATGAAAAAGTAATAAAAATAGAACTATCATAGAATCCAGCAGTTCTACTTTGAGGTATTTATCTGAAGAAAATGAAAACACTAATTCAATAAACACATGCACCCTTATGTTTTTGCAGCATTATTTATAACAGCCAAGATATGGAAGCAGCCCAAATGTCCATTGATAGACAAAAGGATAAAGAAGATATGGCATATTTATACAACCGAATACTACTCAGTTATAAAAAAGAATGAAATCTTGTCATTTGCAACAACGGGGACGGAGCTAAGATGCTAAATGAAACAAGTCAGGCTGAGAAAGACAAACACCAAATGATTTCACATATTTGTGGAATCTGAAAAACAAAACAAGCCAACCAACAACACAAAGCCGAAGCTGATTCAGAGATACGGAGAACAAGTGATGATTGCCAGAGGGAAGGAGGGTGGAGGGATAGACAAACAAGTAAATGGAATTCAGAGGTTCAGAGTATGATCTTCCAGTTATAAAATAAATAAGACACAGGAATGTAATGTACCACACAGGGAATACAGTCAATAATATTGTAACGACTTTGAATGGTGACAGATGGTAACTAGACTTATTGCAGTGACCATTTTGTAATGTAAATATATTATCAAGTCACTACA